CTCGATCGAGTTTGTCACTCGAGTTTTTTGACTCGATCGAGCTGAGTGTCGAGTTGACCAAACCGATCATTACAACTCTAATTCTTTGTAATCTTTGATGCATTTCAGGTACTTTAGTGAAGAAACAGAGTAACAAGGATGACAAACAGTGAGGGAAGTCGTGCTTCACAAAGGAGAATGGTTGAGGGTGAATCAAGCAATGCAAGAGAGAACAAGGCTTAAGATGCAAGCCGATTTGGAGAAGATGATCAAAGGATGGAAGAGTCTGATGCAGAGGAGTATGTCTACTCTGAGGACAGTCTGAGAGTGAGAGATTGAGGGAAGAAAGGAGAACCAAGAAGAGGAATGACCCTATTAGTAGTGAGAGTGAGCAAGGAGAGTTTGAGATTGGAGTGAACCTTGTTCAAGAGGGGGAAATGGCTCTCCAAATGAAGAAGGCAGTGAGGACTGAGAGTGAAGAGGAAGGAGAAGAGGTGAACCAATTGGTTGATGAAGATGACCAAGAGGGGAACCAAGATGAGCCAATGGAAGAGGCTGAGGAGAGCAAGAGGAGGATGAGCTCCCCATGTACCAAGAGCACTACAATGCTCTCTTCTCCATGGACTTTGTGGAGACTAAGTACCCACACGATGACACCATGAGAGACCTTGGGATCTTTGAGGATGTGGAGTTGGTGCTCAAGAACATGCAATTGGGGAAGTTCTTCTCTCACCGCATGGAGTCTTACAAGGAGTTGACTTGTGAGTTTTTGGCATCGATGAAGCATCACGAGTTTGATGAGCTCGATCGAGCTGAGTTGGACCGAGGCTGGGGGTACATAACTTTCTTGGCAAAGGGAGAGAAGAAGATGGTGACCTTTAGGCAGCTTGAGATACTGTTTGGGTTCACCTATGGAGAAGGAACCTATGGAACATCAAGGAAGAAGAACTCCAAAGAGTATGGGCTACAATAGCTGAAGAGGGGTACTCTTCCTCAAGGTCCAAGGCTGCCCAGATCAGAAGTCCTGTGCTTAGATATGTCCACAAGGCTCTTGCAAACACCTTCTTTGCAAGGAAAGCCACTGGAACAATCAATGAGGGAGAAGTGAAGCTCCTTACCATGGGAATCAAGCCTATCATCTCACGAACTAGGATGGGAAGAAGATCAGAGGAGACAGGGCACACGCAGGGAATCTCATGCCTCTCCTTGAGCAGCTCCAAGCCTACAAGGTCACAGCTTACAACACTAGGCACCAAAGAGGAAGAAAGCTTAGTGTTGGAGGGGTGATCACACCAATTCTTTGTGCAGCAGGAGTTCAAGTGGACAAGAGAAGGTCTACTCCACCAGGTTGGATGGACATCAAGTTTTGCAAGACCAACCTCCTCATTGAGCACAAGGAGTTGGATGGGAGATTCCAATTCAAATTCACCCATCCCCACGGCTGGACTCTCCAAGCTTCTTCTGCCCAACCCTGAGCTCACCACGGTCTAGGAGGTACAAACATTGATTTCAGACCCCCTGTGTACACTTTGGTTGGGCATGAAGCGGATTTGCAAGAAGAAGAGATCGAGCTCGATCGAGCTGAGGATCGAGCTGAGATCAGCTGAAGATCGAGTCAGGAAAGCATGATTTGGGTGAGCCTGAGTGCTATTACTTTGAGGAGTATGAGGCTCCAAGGATGAACCCCTCTGTTGTGGCTGCTCACAAGAGGATTGGACTTCTCCAAAAGTTCAACAAATGGCAAGGGAAAGCCATTGAGAAGATGCAAAAGTCCATGGACAAGATGGTGAGCAAGATCAAAAGTTTGGAGAAGAAGGTTTCTGGTTCTTCAAGCAAGAAGAAGAAGTCCAAGGCCCCCACATTCCCTAGGAGTAGATCACTCCTCACCACTCCAAAGGAGACTCCCTGCCCAAGAGCCTCACAGAGCCTCTTCTTTCGAGCCAAGGGAAGAAGAAGACAACACGCAGAGAAGGAGGAAGACTTCAAGGCCAGACGCTCCAGCTCGACCACCGGACTCGATCGAGTCCAAACAGAGGAAACTCAACTCGATCGAGCTGAGGGTCGAGCTGAAACTCAACTCGATCGAGCTGAGGGTCGAGCTGACCAACTCCACATCCTCAAAGATACCAAGATCTCTCATGGTGTCATCGTGTGGGTGCTTAGTCTCCACAAAGTCCATGGAGAAGAGAGCATTGTAGTGCTCTTGGTACATGGGGAGCTCATCCTCCTCTTGCTCTGCCTCAGCCTCTTCCATTGGCTCATCTTGGTTCCCCTCTTGGTCATCTTCATCAACCAATTGGTTCACCTCTTCTCCTTCCTCATCACTCTCAGTTTCCTCACTGCCTTCCTCATTTGGAGAGCCATTTCCCCCTCTTGAACAAGGTTCACTCCAATCTCAAACTCTCCTTGCTCACTCTCACTACTTATAGGGTCATTCCTCTTCTTGGTTCTCCTTTCTTCCCTCAGCCTCTCACTCTCAGATTGTCCTCAGAGTAGACATACTCCTCTGCATCAGACTCTTCCATCTTTGATCATCTTCTCCAAATCGGCTTGCATCTTAAGCCTTGTTTCTCTTGCATTGCTTGACTCACCCTCAACCATTCTCCTCTGTGAAGCGCGACTTCCCTCACTGTTTGTCATCCTTGTTACTCTGTTTCTTCACTAAAGTACCTGAAATGCATCAAAGATTACAAAGAATTAGAGTTGTAATGATCGGTTTGGTCAACTCGACACTCAGCTCGATCGAGTCAAAAAACTCGAGTGACAAACTCGATCGAGTTGGGTGAAAACAGAGTATAACCAAACCTAATTCAAGATTAAGAGCTGGAAAAGGTGCTAATCAACAAATTGAACCAAGGAACAGCTAGTAAATGGAACAATGAGCAATTCTAGTGAAGCATTAAGCACCTTAACCAATACCAAACTCAAATTCAAACTTTCAAGCACATGCAAAAAGTTTAAAGGCAAAACAGAGGAGAGGTGAAACAAACTAACAAGACTATACAGCAGAGGCGAAATACGAGGGTAATTAATCAAGAACAAGTCCACAAGGGACACATGCAATCAAAAATCAAAGAGAAAATAATCAATAATGGAAATCGAGGTGGGGTAATCAAAGGTTCTAGGGTTCATACCTTGCTTTGAATGATGAATTAAGAACAGTAAGCTAGGACCCAAACGTAATCGGTGAAGCACAAGAGGAAATTGCAAAAACTTAAGAGAGAAAGGGAGGAATTCGAAAAAAAATTCTTGTGGTGAAGAGAGAGATGGATGAATTTCAGAAATTTTAAGATTGTGGGAGAGAGAGAGGGTGGATTCGATCGAGTTATGGGGAAGAGTGGTGTTTGAGATGTGTGGTTGAGATTAAAAGATTAAATAAAGAGGGAACAAGAAGCTAGGAATTCTCTGATCAAATTAGGGTAGTGGGGGACCAAAATCAGCTTGTGGGACCCACTCCCTTGACCAAGAAAACGGTTATGAATTTAAAATTCAAAAACTTAGCTCGGTCGAGTTGTGTAGCTCGATCGAGTTGCCCTGGTTTCTAGCTCGACGAGCTCGATCGAGCTGGCTCCTTTGACACCTATTGTGAGCTGAGATGGTGGGGAACAAAGTCATTGTGAGCTGAGATGGCTTGACTGAAGGGGCCTGAGCTGGTGGATCCTTTCTTTTATCACCTGGTCTTGCCTTAGAGGCTGCATCCTCCCCTTCTTTTAGAGCCCTTCCTAGTGGCTCATCAAACAAAGCTTGAAGGCTCTCTTCATCAAGCACACAAGGGGCTTGAACAAGTCTATCAGCTCTTGGCCTATCAGATCGTGGTTTCTCAACTCTAGCCCTCTCAAGACGTGGCTTCTCAATCCTTGGTCCTCTCTCATCCTTATCCTTCCCAACTCTTGGTTCCTTGTCAACCCTTTCCTTCACAACCTTTGTAGCTCCATGACTCTTAGAACTGAGATTGGTACTGTCAATTGTGGCACAAAAGTCTGAACCTCTAGGCTGCAAGCGATATGACACCAAAACTATTCACCTTGTGAAGGATCACTTCTTGCTTGTGAAAGTCAATTGAAGCGCCAACTGTACTAAGGAAAGGGGTTCCCAATAACAAAGGCAAATCCTTCTCTTCTTCCATTTCCATCACAGTGAGATCAGTTTGGATGATGCATTCTCCAATTTTCAAGTGATAGTTCTTGAACACTCCAAGAGGAGACTTAGAAGTTGCATCTCCAAACATGATTGAAGTAGTAGGGCGCTGCAAGGCTCCAGCTATGCCTAGCTTCTCCGCCATGGAGAGAGAGATCAGATTGATGCTTGCTCCAGAATCCACTAAGGCATTGTCAATCTCAAGATGCCCAAGTGTGCAAGGGAGAGTGAATTTCCCTTGATCTTTGACCTTTGGTAGGAAGGTGGGTGAAGTAAGCAGGTTGTACTAATGAGTAGACTCTTGTAGGACTTCTGAAACTTTATCACTGTTGGCTAGAACATCCTTGACCATTTGCATTTGATCAAATGCCTCACTCATGCTATCCATAGTAGGCAACTCAATTCCAATCCCACTGAGATCTCTTCTGAACTTGTGAATCACTTCCTTGTGACCTTGACTAAGTAGGCAAGACGAGGAAGCGGCAACCGGTTGATAAGGATCAAGCAAAACAGGCTGTCGGACTGAAGAGGTCGGACTCGATCGAGCTAGAGTTGGACTCGATCGAGCTGCCGATCGAGCTTGCCGTGCGAGCTCAACTGGTGAAGTGTGAATGGCCACAGTAGGTGCATGCACTTCTGGTTGATCAATCTGGACTCCAGGAGCCTCAGCAGCAACAATCTCTTCATCATTCAGCAGTAAACAAAAATCTTCAATGACCCTTTCTTGATCCTCTTCTTCAACAAGTCCTTCTTGAGTGAAGATTACCTTCCACTGTTCCTTGGGGTTCTCACATTGCTTTGAGCTCATTCTCTTGTGAAGGTGCAGGCTGGGGCTGTTGGTGGGGGAAGCCTGGTGGGATATTCATTTGTTGTCCAGGGAAAGTGCCTTGTGGTCCTTGGTAATTGTTCTTTTGTCCATACCCATATTGTGGCACCTGACTCGATCGAGCTGCTTGTTGTTGAGGATATACTTGGTCCTGAGGCTTAGCAACATCAGTGTTGCGGTATGACATGGCAGGGTTGGACTTGTAATTATAGTATCCTTTGTTGTAACCTCCTTGCCCATTGCTCATGTAGCACACCTCAGCAAATTGTGTATCCTCCCCTTCTTGGACTGGTTCCATCTCCTCAGCAGACACAAAGTTGACTTTCTTCATTGTGGACTGAGCTAGGATCAGCTTATCCAACTTCTCATTCAATGCCTTAACATCTTTTCTCAACTTTTCGTCTGACTCGATCGAGTGGTGGGTCGAGCTCCGGTTGGTGCGATCATACTCTTCTCCATAGCTTCCATTTGAGTTAGCTATGTTCTCCACAAGTTGCCAGCCATCATCTACATCCTGGTTGAGGAAGTTCCCATTGCTAGCTGTGTCTAGCATCTCCCTATACCTAGGCAAGCATCCTCTATAAAGAGTGGAGAGTAGGATTCATTGTTGAATCCATGGTGTGGGCACTGACTTGTGTAGCCCTTTGAACCTCTCCCAAGCCTCTGCGAATGTCTCATTGTTTCGCTGGATGAAGCTGGATATCTCTCCTCTAAGCTTGGCTGTGCGACCGGTGGAGAAAAACTTAGCAAGAAAGGCCTTCTTGCATTCATCCCAAGTGGTGATTGTGCCATGGGGCAAGCTCTTCTCCCATTGGTGAGCTTTGTCAGCTAGAGACATAGGAAAGAGTCTCAGCTTGATGGCATCTTCAGAGACACCATTGATCTTTGTCAAATCACAAAGCCTATCAAACTCATCAAGGTGGTCAATGGGGTCTTCACTTGGCAATCCATGGAACATCTTGTTCTGGACAAGGTTGATCATTCCCAGCTTGATCTCAAAGTTGTGGTTCTGCACTGGTGGTGGAACAATCCCTTGTCTCTGTTGGTGGCGGTTTGGAGCATCTCCTTGACCAATCGGTCGAGTTTGCCTAGCTCGACCGAGTCCATTACCCAAAGGGTTTCCATTCCCCTCTGGTACATCCATTGTATCAGCAACAAGCACCTCAGGTTCCTCTTGTACCCTCTGTGACCTCTGAACCCTCTTTCTACCCGTTGTAAGTCTAGCTCGACCAAGTCCTCAGTAGACCGACTCGATCGAGTTCGCATACACCTGCAAAAAGAGACAAAAACCCAGCAGTACAATAGAACAGGGGTGGTATAGCTTGATCGTCCAAGTGTGTTTGAAACTCAAATGCAACAAAAATATTCCCAAATCGGCAACGGCGCCAAATTGATGATAGGATTTGTGTGTGGATGTGAAAAGATATGAAATGAGATGAGTGGAATGCAATCAGTGGTATATGATGAGGTGGTAAGATGCAAACACAAACACAGTCAACAATTCCCTTTAACCATGATAGTTGATGTAGTACAAAGGGTTATCAATCCAAAATGGGAAACTTGTCACTCTATGAGAATATGAAACAACCAGGAAGTCAAGCAAGCAGTATAATTTGAAGTAACACTAACAACCTAAAAAAATGAAAAGCAGTGCAATAAAAGTAAACAAAGCAGTGAAGTGTCAGCTCGACCAAGAGCTCGAGTCGAGTCAGAGCAAAGTACCAGCTCGATCGAGTTTAGGGACGAGTTGAGACAAACAAAGCTAAAGGTGACGACTTTAACAAGATAAAGAGAGAATTAGGGTTCAAGACAGGGTTTTGCAATCAAAGGAATCTACACTTAATCAATCTAGCTCTTAAAACTCCTTGTATCAAGGCTTCTCTTGATATTGGGCTTCTCAATGCCTAGCCAACCCTTTCCCAAGGTGGAGGCTATCAACCAAGGAATGATCTCAGAAACAGGGGGTTAGCCAGTGAGAATCAAACCTTGGAGGCTATAGGATCATTGCCCAAACTAATCCATCCAACCCCTTAGACCTCTATGTCTAGAGCAAGAGATATTGGAGCTCTTAGTGGATCTTTTCCAGCGAATGCCATCACTTTCGTGTGGGGAGTCGCCTAAGGACTTACAAGCCAGGGGTAGTGGTCATGTAGCCTTAAGATCTATCCAAAAGAGAGAGAATCTAGATTAAGACCATAAGCTAGAAGGATTAAGCATATGAAACCTCTAATCTATCCCATCTCAAACCCTAATGGGTAACTACTCACTACACATGAATGTAAACACAAGCAAATGCAATAAAAGAGACATCATAAGAAAGAGGAGATGAAATTAAACAACTTTTATTGAAATAAGCAAGTGCAAATACAAAGAGATTATCCAGGATCTAGGATTCAAGAAGCAAGAGCTTCAAGAACACAAAGATGGGATTAGATCTCTAAAAAGTAAAAGACAATAAATTAAAAGAACTAAAACAAAATAATCTAAAGCTTGGTGGTTTTTTCGTGGCTTAGAGCCTTTAAATACAAAGAGGATTAGGTTTAGGGTCAAAGGAAAGTCAAGGGGGAAGCAACATTTTTCGGGTTTGACTTTGACTTCTCAGCTCGATCGAGTTGAAGCTTGGCCGGTCGAGTTGAGGAACTCGACCGGTTGGTCGAGTAGACGGTCGAGCTGGTCTTCAAGATGGCTTCTCCCTTCTTCCTTTGCGTATCCAGTTGAGCTGCTTCCATGTGCCAAGTCCCTCCATGCTCCTTGTCCCATATGCTCCAGAATGCTCCAAAAGACCTATTTCAAAGGACCAAACATGCATATGTATGCAAATGCAACCTAAAACTAACATGAATGCATAAGAAGAGAAAAGGAACAAGATATGATGCAAATGGATGCTAAAACTATGCAAAAGATGCATAAAAGATGTGCTAAAACTATGTAAAATGCAAGTACATCAACACCCCCAAACTTGAACTTTGCTTGCCCTCAAGCAAACAAATAGAACAAGAAAGAGATGAGGTTTGAAAAAAGCTGATTCAACACTTAAAAACATGTCCTCAAAAGCGATTTGCTAAATGTCCAACTTAGAGATTCTAGAATGCAACAAGGTGAGAGATATTCATTAAGATTTAACCATGCTTATCAACATCAATCCCACTTCACAGTCACTCAAACAGTGCATTCAAATCAGCAAATCCCTTTAACATTCATTAAGCAAAAACAGTGAACCAAAAACATGCAAGATCAATCAACTCATTTGGTTTCAAGGGTTTATGGGTTAAGAGACAAAGAGGGTCTCTTTTGTATGGTGGTTTAGTAACAGGGATCTCTCAAGAAAGTGGCTTTGCTTTGGCAGAAGGCTAAGTGTTAGAACCAAAGATGATGCAAGAACAGCAGCTCGAGCCGCCTAATCCTAACTCGATCGAGTTCAACACTTAGAGCTTTTTAGAACAAAATCCTAACTACCCTTTTTGGCATTTCGCCTTTGAAACTGAGGAGCTTTGCTCACTTTTCTTTTAAGAACTTCCTAGGGAGAGGCTTCTTGAGGTAACATCTAGCGGTTTGGGATTTTCTAAACACTTAGGGAACTTTTCTTCCTTTTTGACACTTGAGGCTTTGCCTTCTTTTCATTCTACTTAGAACCCTTTTTACTTTCCTTTTTTAACTTCCCAAACCTTTACTAGACCCTTTTTAACACTGCCAACTCCCTGGACTTAACCAAACTCTTTTTCCTTTGGGTTTTTCCCAACTTTTACCACTTTTCTGGTTTTTACACCCAACTCGATCGAGCTCGAGTTGGCACCCCCAAACTTAGCCTGAAAACAATCCCAAGAGAACTAGACAACTAGAACTACTGCCCCTGCCGGTTTAAACACAACACCTTATGCTAAGCAAAGCCAAGAAAGGTTCTCACATTCGCACAAGAGATAATAAGGGGTTTGAAATGAAAAGGCTTAGGTTTAAGGTGTGGTAACTGTCTCAAAGATAGAGATCAGCTATCTGGACAAGCAAAAGGGATATGAAAATGGTAAAGAATGTCCAGATATGTATGTGGTAGCCATGAGTTGAAATCAAATGCAAGCATTGGTAATTAAAGATCAAGTTATGGTTCAAATAGATAGGGAAATGCATCAAATCACAGCAATGGTTGAATGAGATGTGCATGCAGTGATATGATCAAGATAAACATGGTTCTTGCTGCTCAATCAATCTCACCCTAATGCACAAAAGAATCTAAAAACAGGGCACTCAAGAAATCGCAAAAGATGGACAAGTTTTCAAAGTCAAATCAACAATGCAAGTGAAAAATGCAATCCTAAACAAGTCTAGCAAATATGAATGCAAAAAGATGAAAATATTTTTGGATTTTTTGAAAATTTTATGATTTTTTTGGTTTTTCTATGCAAAAGATAAATGAAAAACTAAGAACAAAGAAAACAAGGTTAAATCATCTCTTGAACCCTCCCCCAAACTTAAATCACACAGTCCCTTGTGTGAGAAAAATTTAGTGAAAGATTCAAGAGGGCAAAACCAAGAAAAAAACAAGAACAAATGCAAGAAAATATGAAATGGTATATACAAGGGTTGGTGTTTGGATACCTCAGTGTCCCCCAAAGAACTGGGAGACTAGGTCGTGGTCTGGAGATGGTAGACGGCCATCAGGAACGCTCCATGCAACTGGGGTTGCCTCTTGTGGCTCACTCGATCGAGCTTGCGGCTCCTCTTCCTCTTCTTCTCAAAGTGTGTGGCTTCCTTGGCCTTGGTGGAGCATTGGTAGCTCGTACTGTCCATAGGGGTTCCATCTACTCCGGAGAGGCTCCTGGTAAGGCATGGGATCGTATTCAAATCCCGGATCCTCGAACTGGGGCTCCTCCAGGTCAGCTCGACCCTCAGCTCGATCGAGTTGAGTTTCCTCTGTTGGACTCGATCGAGTCCGGTGGTCGAGCTGGAGCGTCTGGCCTTGGAAGTCTTCCTCCTTCTCTGCGTGTTGTCTTCTCCTTCCCTTGGCTCGAAAGAAGAGGCTCTGTGAGGCTCTTGGGCAGGGAGCCTCCTTGGAGTGGTGAGAAGAGATCTACTCCTAGGGAATGTGGGGGCCTTGGACTTCTTCTTCTTGCTTGAAGAACCAGAAACCTTCTTCTCCAAACTTTTGATCTTGCTCACCATCTTGTCCATGGACTTTTGCATCTTCTCAATGGCTTTCCCTTGCCATTTGTTGAACTTTTGGAGAAGTCCAATCTCTTGTGATGATAGGATTTGTGTGTGATGTGAAAAGATATGAAATGAGATGAGTGGAATGCAATCAGTGGTATATGATGATGGTGGTAAGATGCAAACACAAACACAGTCAACAATTCCCTTTAACCATCATAGTTGATGTAGTACAAAGGGTTATCAATCCAAAATGGGAAAACTTGTCACTCTTTGAGAATATGAAACAACCAGGAAGTCAAGCAAGCAGTAATAGATTTGAAGTAACACTAACAACCTAAAAAATGAAATGCAATGCAAAAAGTAAATAAAGCAGTGAAGTGCAGCTCGACCAAGACTCGAGTCGAGTCAGAACAAAGTACCAGCTCGATCGAGTTTAGGGACGAGTTGAGACAAACAAAGCTAAAGGTGACGACTTTAACAAGAATAAGAGAATTAGGGTTCAAGACAGGGTTTTGCAATCAAAGGAATCTACACTTAATCATCTAGCTCTTAAAACTCCTTGTATCAAGGCTTCTCTTGATATTGGCTTCTCAATGCCTAGCCAACCCTTTCCCAAGGTGAAGGCTATCAACCAAGGAATGATCTCAGAAACAGGGGGTTAGCCAGTGAGAATCAAACCTTGGAGGCTATAGGATCATTGCCCAAACTAATCCATCCAACCCCTTAGACCTCTATTTTCTAGAGCAAGAGATATTGGAGCTCTTAGTGGATCTTTTCCAGCAATTGCCATCACTTTCGTGTGGGGAATCGCCTAAGGACTTACAAGCCAGGGGTAGTGGTCATGTAGCCTTAAGATCTATCCAAAAGAGAGAGAATCTAGATTAAGACCATAAGCTAGAAGGATTAAGCATATGAAACCTCTAATCTATCCCATCTCAAACCCCAATGGGTAACTACTCACTACACATGAATGTAAACACAAGCAAATGCAATAAAAGAGACATCATAAGAAAGAGGAGATGAAATTAAACAACTTTTATTGAAATAAGCAAGTGCAAATACAAGAGAGATTATCCAGGATCTAAGATTCAAGAAGCAAGAGCTTCAAGAACACAAAGATGGGATTAGGGTTGCTAAAAAGTAAAAGTACAATAAATTAAAAGAGACTAAAACAAAAGTAATCTAAAGCTTGGTGGTTTTTTCGTGGCTAGAGCCTTTAAATACAAAGAGGATTAGGTTTAGGGTCAAAGGAAAGTCAAGGGGGAAGCAACATTTTTCGGGTTTGACTTTGACTTCTCAGCTCGATCGAGTTGAAGCTTGGCCGGTCGAGTTGAGGAACTCGACCGGTTGGTCGAGTAGATGGTCGAGCTGGTCTTCAAGATGGCTTCCTCCTTCTTCCTTTGCGTATCCAGTTGAGCTGCTCCATGTGCCAAGTCCCTCCATGCTCCTTGTGTCCCATATGCTCCAGAATGCTCCAAAAGACCTATTTCAAAGGACCAAACATGCATATGTATGCAAATGCAACCTAAAACTAACATGAATGCATAAGAAGAGAAAAGGAACAAGATATGATGCAAATGGAAGCTAAAACTATGCAAAAGATGCATAAAAGATGTGCTAAAACTATGTAAAATGCAAGTACATCAGACCCCCATAGAGGCGATCATCACTCCTCTAGAAGATCCAACCCCGGCCTAAAAGGGGAAGGGTCAAGCTAAGGGACCTAAAACAAGCTCACTTGGGAGGAATTCCCATGTCTATCTTATGTATTTATGCTTTATCCTTTTATTTTAATGATTTTCTTGGCTAAGTCTCACAGGAGCAGGTTTTGGGAAGAAGAGTGGCCAACTCGAGGCACGACTCGATCGAGTCAAGAGCAAGCTCGATCTAGTGAGCCGAACCCAGTCGAGTGGAGTGCTCCTGATGGCCGTCTACCATCTCCAGACCACGACCTAGCCTCCCAGTTCTTTGGGGCGCACTGAGGTATCCAAACACCAACCCTTGTATATACCATTTCATATTTCTTGCATTTGTTCTTGTTTTTTCTTGGTTTTGCCCTCTTGAATCTTTCACTAAATTTTTCTCACACAAGGGACTGTGTGATTTAAGTTTGGGGAAGGGTTCAAGAGATGATTTAACCTTGTTTTCTTTGTTCTTAGTTTTTCATTCATCTTTTGCATAGAAAAACAAAAAAAAAATCATAAAATTTTCAAAAAATCCAAAAATATTTTCATCTTTTTGCATTCATATTTGCTAGACTTGTTTAGGATCTCACCCTAATGCACAAGAGAATCTAAAAACAGGGCACTCAAGAAATCGCAAAAGATGGACAAGTTTTCAAAGTCAAATCAACAATGCAATTGAAAAATGCAATCCTAAACAAGTCTAGCAAATATGAATGCAAAAAGATGAAAACATTTTTGCATTTTTCTGAAAATTCTATGATTTTTTTTTTGTTTTTTTCTATGCAATGAGATGAATGAAAAACTAAGAACAAAGAAAACAAGGTTAAATCATCTCTTGAACCCTCCCCCAAACTTAAATCACACAGTCCCTTGTGTGAGAAAAATTTAGTGAAAGATTCAAGAGGGCAAAACCAAGAAAAAACAAGAACAAATGCAAGAAAATATGAAATGGTATATACAAGGGTTGGTGTTTGGATACCTCAGTGTCCCCCAAAGAACTGGGAGACTAGGTCGTGGTCTGGAGATGGTAGACGGCCATCAGGAACACTCCACTCGACTGGGTTCGGCTCACTCGATCGAGCTTGAGGCTCCTCTTCT